AGTTTCATTAATGTTAGAGAAATACATGAAATAGTTTCATTAAGTATTATATGAAACAATTTCACAACCATATATGAAACAACTTCATCAAAAAAAGTATTATATGAAATAATTTCACAAGATTAAACAATTTCATGAAAAAATTTCATAAGATTAAACAATGAAATCGACAGATGAAAGTAGTTTGCACGGTTTACACAAATGAAGGCGGTTTTCATATGATCACTCCTCTATATATATATATATATATATATATATTTTTTGTTATGGTTAAAAAGTGATACTATCTTTCTCAAACTAAAAACCATTAGTTTTTTAGTATTTGAATTTAAAGAATACTTTGAAACGTAGTTTATATAATTACAAGATGGGTTAAAACATTAATAAAGTTATTTTTCAAATTCAGTACATAAACTTTTTTATCCAAGTTATTTTCTTTAGATTCAACTTAACCAAACAATACGATAAGAAAGGTCTTACCGTCGCGTGAGTCTTAAATATATAGCCCACTGGTATTGGACTCTTTAGGGACTGGATGCCGTGTAGGACCGATTAGTATTGTCGTTATTCAATCTTTTGCTCAAAAATACGATAAGGTAAAAAAAACGTGAAACTTGCTTATAATCTTTAACTTAAGTTTGAATGTTGTTAAACAAAATACAAGAGTGATTCAATCTAGAAAGAACAAAAGGAAGATTCAAAGATAATGATTGAATATGGCATGAGATATAAAGACCTCCGGCAATCACGCCACTCATATAAAACAAAAGGACTGAATAGTAAATATCCATAAGTTTAGGTATTCAAGAAGTATCATTGTTTATGACCATAAAGTCATATAAAAAAAGTATGAGGGGGTGAAGTTGTTAATTATTAATATATTATTATGATCAATGAAAGAAAGCCAACCCCATAATTGACTTTTTAGTGGTGTTTTAAAGTTGTGGTAAAAGCACATGGCTACCTCCCTTCTTGTCTCTTTTGATGCCACTAAGTCCTTGCCAATTTTCTGAAAGTGTAAAGAAATTAGAGTTTTTTTTTTAAGTTAAGGGGGTTAAATGAAATTATATAAAGAAATGAGATCTCTATACATTCATCATCTCTATATTCTTGAGGGAAAAACAAACCCTCATTTGCTATGTCTAATGACTTAAGGACCACTTATCCAAATACTTACCCGGTAGGTGTTTATCGATATAAATCAACACTATCATTTATTTTGATGCGTAAGAATTTATTACATCAAAACATATCGAATGCAACAATTTAATAGTCTAGCGCTTAGTCGTCATCCTCACTCTTATCAGGTAAGAATCTTCATCCTTCTTATCACTCTTACCCAGTAAGACTCTTGGCCCTTCTCATGTTTATCCGATAAATACTTATCAAGTAAGCGTTTAATAAACAGCCACTTAAATTGTTTAACAAAATCATAGTGTAAGAAACTTGTTTTTTTCATGGCATCACTAAGTTGGGAAGATTTCAATGACCAACTACTATATTCATTACATTGTCACATTATCAACTATTTTTCTATATAACACAATATAGAGAGATGTGCGATCAAATCCAAATCAACTAATTTGTACAAACCGTGCAAATCATCTTCATTCGTCGATTTTATTGTTTAATCTTATGAAATTTTTTAAAATTAAATTGTTTAATCTTGTAAAATTGTTTCATATAATACTTTTTGATGAAGTTGTTTTATATATGGTTATGAAATTGTTTCATATAATACTTAATAAAATTTTAATGAAACTGTTACATGTATTTCTCTAAAATTAAAATAATGAAGATGATAATATTCATGATGAACGCCCTCCACAATAAAAATGATTAATCAACCTCTCATAATTATTAAAAAATGAACAAAATGAAAAACTATGATTAGTTGAATGAGGTTTGTACTATGTATGTATGTATGTATGTATGCATGCATGTATGTATGTATGTACGTACGTACGTATGTATGTATGTATGTGTGTATTATAAGCGTATTTGTGTAATACAGTGAAATATATTTCTATTTCATCACTCTAGATTTGTTTGGTTTTAAAAGAGGGAGAGATTTTGATTATCAGCTTTACAAAGTATTTCATTGTATTATTAAGATTCAACTATTATCTTGAACATGTTTATAATTGATTATGAGCTACTTTGTAAATATAATTTGTTTGATTAAAAAGTTAATTATACTTAAAATAATTGAATTTTCTTTTTAAATTCAGATAAATTTTATAGGTTGTTAAAACTTGATCATTTATATGGAAAGAAAATGTGAGCTACCAAAAATCCGTCAAGCTTTCATTTCTTATTATTTATAATATGAGTAGAATATATACATACATATATATATATATATACACACACATGTGTGTGGGGTGTCAAAATAAGAAAACATGAAACCGTTATACCATAGGACTAAAAGTCACATGTGATTCAGGTGTGGTTAACACTCTTAAATCGTCAGGCCAAACATGCAACGTGTGCCCGAAGTTGACTAAACCTGAATCACATGTGATTTTTTTGTCAAAAATCATATGTAATATAAATGTTGTTGTATTCTCTTATTTTGACCGTGTTTTCATTTGAACCTCTTCTTTCTCTCTCTATATACATGTCATATTGTATGATTATATCATATATATACGAGCTAAATGAGTAGTTTGGTTGATAATTTGTACCCTTTATATAAAGAATTTAGCAATACCGAGGGATTGAATTTTCAAACCATTAGGCTTCAAATTTTATTGGTCACTACTCGGTTTTCTTGCGAAAATGCCAAAAAAAAAACAATGTAGTATGTAACAATGACCAATTTTAAATGAATTATGTAAGCACAATCGTAATGAATATCATCATATTCATCTACTATATAAATATGGATACTTCTTGTTTTATTGATATGTATTTTAAAATAAAGGAAACAAATTCTCTTAAAATCACCATTTTAATTATGAAGTATTTTTCTTATTTACCATGAAGAAAAAATAATCAACCACAAGGGTGATGTTTAATTGGTTTGAGCTTGAGTTCTAAAGATCAAAAGTGTCCAGATGTCTTTGGTTCGAATTTAATGAGAAGCAAAAATTCTCTTGTGGCCACGGAGGTTCAAATACGATGATCTTAGGCTATCTGCAAAACAGGTGATTGTTTTAAGATTTTTCGATTCGCATGAGAGATTAGATATCCAGATTAATAAAAATGAAAAGAAAAATTGATTACAAAGAAAAACCAAATACAATGATAATCATATAAGAGAAAAACCTCATAATATCTACACGTTTGATGTTAAGGGGAAAATGATTCATCAAGTCAAAAACATTAGTGAAGGGCTCTTTAGTGGGGACCATTCAGTGGGTTGCAACTTCTTACGAAGGATTCAGTCAAACATTATCATCATTATTATTATATACCATTAAATTATTCTTTCAATGTAATATGGTATTAATTTTATTATTCTTTCTTATGATTAAATTGTTTAAATAAAAATGAAATAATAATAATAATAATATAAAAATAAAAATAATAGAAAATAGAATATAGAAAATGATGGTGTTTACAGCCAATTTGGGAAGTAAAGTCCCACACATGGTTAAAGGTGTAGTCCCGTGGTCAAACCACTCCCATCATGGCTTCTTTTCTTTTTCTTTTAAAACATACAAAACCCCTATATACATGCCAAATTCAATTAAAATCTTAAACAAATTGTAATTTATAAACTATTTTTCATTTATTTTATATATAAAATAACAAATGTAAAACACGTAATATATGTTTATTAGTGTTGTTTCATATATAAAACACTCAAAAACCATTGTATGTGAAGAAAAAAAAAACATAAAACAACATATAAATATAAGAACAAAACATGTGAAACGATATGAATCATAACCTAAATTAAATAAGTTGGTTTAGTTGTCACGGGTTTGTGATATATTTGTGGTTTAAGAATCCATTCGGAACCATGGATCTCTTTTGTTCCAATGAGATGATCGTGCACGTTTTTGTAAAGAATAAGCACTAGTTTCCTGCATTTCAGGCATAATTTGGTTGATCTTGTGAAGGTACATTAAGGATTATGCATGTTCAATATTTTTCATATTAAGATATGTTTAAGTTTTTTATATTAAAATATTTAAAGTGTGCCAATGTGTTCATGTTAAGACAACTCAAAATTTTAGAAAGTGTTTTCAAATTCATGTAATCCTAAACAAAATAACAATAATTGGAAATTAAACAAAAAATAGCAATAATTGAAAACTCATGATTCCAACTCGAGTCCAACAACGAATGCATGATTGTAAATTTTGTAATTAGTCTTTACGAATATTAGGCGGTGACTAACAACTGCGTTTCTCCTTCCCTACAATCTCCAAACACTCATCCTTAATTATAATTTTTATTATATGTCTTTTAATTTATATTTGATAAAATACCTGATAATCTAGTTGTTACCTGATAAGTTAATTAACTAGGTATTAACCAAAAAGTTAGTTGATAAATGGATTAGGTTTAATATAAAAAAAAAAAGCCAATAAATTAAATGACAAATATAAAATAAAAAATAATATTTAATTCTAATACTAAATATATATCTACTTAATTCTAACCTTATAATTATTTTTACTTAATATTTAGTTGAACAAAATAAATGATTACTTATGAAATACTTGAAAAATAAAAACTGTAAATAAGATAAAGCTAAAAAAATTATTTGTAGAATTTATCACCAAAATAAATAAATGTATAAAATTTGACATTGGTTCCAATGATCAATAGTCTCTAAAGGTCAAGGACAAAATGAAAATCAAATTATGGTCACGGAGGTTTAAATACGGTAACTCCGAACTACCTGCGAAACAGATGGTCATCGTGTGATTAGTCGGCTCGCATAACGAGTTGATATAGAGGTTAATAAAAAAAGATATATGTTCATGTTTTTTATTTATTTATTTTTAAAATTTATTTTACACGGGGTAATGAAAGAGGTTACGAAGGTACCAACCCATTGCTCTAATATTCATTTCAAGTTTTCTTGATTTTTTGTTTTCCGGATAAAATGCCAACCATCTTTACCATCGAAACTCACCACACAGCCTTCTTTCGATAGTCTGACAACTTCCATAATTGGTGGGGCTAATTGCAAAGATGGTTGGCAATTTAACATCCAATCGAATCAAATTAACTAATTAATTAACATCAACATTCAACACAGATCCACCTATATTGCCTCAGGCAGCTGCATCTTTCCGGCTTTTCTTGTGTCCTGTCTCCGGTGACGATGAAACCTCCGACGACCATGACTCGTCGGAGCTGAAACACAGATCCATCACAGCATTTGGGCTCCCGGGTACTGCTCCAAACTTCCGTTTATTGAAATGCCGACCGCCATTTTTACTGCAACTTAACATCTCCTGCATTTCCTCCCAACACTCGTTCACCTTCTCCTGTTAGAAGAGACAGCATTTATCAACTTCAAATGCATGGCTTTCTTATCTTTTTCCAAATTACCAGTAAAATTAGAGAGAGAATGTGATAAAGAAAAAAGAAAAGTCAAGTAATTATCTTTTGACTTGTTCAACTGGGATGGATTGATTTCTTTTCTGGGTACATGAATACATAAAATTTCATTTCTTGGCTGTGTTTTTTAGGGAATATATGTATATATATTCATTTATTTTCTCAAAAAAGAAAAAACTAGAAAGAAAAAAAAAGTCAAAAAGGTGGACCTTATTGATACCAAGAATGCCCACTAGTTGAGACTGGTAATCAATTCCAATACACGGCTCTACACTGTTGATTACATGCACCATCGTTGCTGTTGCTATCACTGATGGAAGATAACGCCTAAACCTACCATCTGCATTTATACATTCACACATTCATTAATGAATAATCATAATATATATAAAAAAAACAGTTTACCCAATACTATCCTCCATAAATTGAAGTTGAATTCTTTCAAAACAGATAGATGTTTACCTGGAAGGAAGCATAGCAGCAGACACTCGCATCTTTTGAGAAATTCAGAAGAGAGATTAGTTCTTAATCCTAGTCTTCTTGTAATGTACTCGAGAAATGAGAGTGGTGTGATGGGGTTCATCTTCCATTGAAGAGTTGATAGGATCAGAACCTCCATTTTTTGAATGGTTTTAGCTTCGAAAACGTATTTGCTTCCCTCCATCTTCAATACAAAAAAGGTCGGCATAATGTTATACGTAGAACACAAAAACCACAAGTAAATATATATATGAGAGAGAGAGAGAGAGACGTACTTGAAGATCTAAAAGAAGTGGGACATGAGTTTCTTCAACTTTAGCAGCAAGAGAGAGACAAGAAACAGCAGCAAGTTGAGTCATCCATGGCTTCTTCTTCTCGCTCTCAAACCCATCAAAACTATCAAGAAACCTATCAAGATAGTTGACGGCGAGCACGGCGGTGAGTGCAGTGAATGAGTAATGCGAAACCACTCCCAAAATCCACTCCACCGCCGTGAGGCGGTGGTGCGACGGTGGGTCTGAGACGTTGTTCTGGAAGTTTTGCTGGGATTCTTTGGAGATGAGAGTCGTTAACTCTTGTTCTTCCCAAAATAGGTCTTCTTGAAGGAGTTCCGTGGAGTTGGTGTGTTGATGGTGAATATTTTTTTCATCATCAACACATGAACTGTAGCTGTCCACTGGTTCTTCTTCATCCTCCTCCCATTGATGCTTTTCTTCACAGTAAAGCGAGTCTAAAAGGGTCATCATCTTCTAGGCGAAGAAGAGATTTAGGGTTTGGATTTCATCATAAGAACAAATCCAGATGAGCATGAAAACAAAACCAGGGATTTTCAACCTTTCTAGAGCTTAATTGGGAGGTGGAAGGAGAAGAGAATAGTGAGCAGTGCCCGGAGGTTTGTGCTTTTATTCACTAGGTCTCGGTTTTATTTTTATTTTTATTTTTTTATTTAATTTAATTTTTAATTTTAAAATATTAAAAATAAATTTGTTTTTTATTCATATAAAAAAATGTCCCTCCACCGGTGACATGTTAGCCAAATTCTATATTCCTTTTTTATTTTATTTTTTGCTATAATTATTAATAATCAAATATGTGAAGTAAAAAATTCAATTTTTAACAACTGAAAATTAAAATTATTGTACTTCACCGATGCACAAAGTGTATCTTAGGGACTTTTCGGTTATGACTATTGTATAGTCTATATGGTTTATTCGTTCAGCCATAAATAAATGTTTGGTTGTGGTTTATTTGTTCAGCCGATGACTTATTTGATGAGCTAAAGAAGTAAAGTCATTTATATTCAGCTCTTTATATTCCTCTTTTGCCCTTCACCCTCTTTTTCATCTTCATCCCTAAATCACAACTTATCTGTTATCATACAGACAACTTGTTAACAGGTTTATGATTTTGTCATATCAGATTTTTTTTCCTAATATATTTTATAAATCTTTTACCATTAATTATAAGCTGGTATATGATTTATAACTGAAAATTATAATAAAATAGAATGGCCGAATTTACTTATTAAAATGGCTTTAAAGCCTATATTGAGATAAATAAAAGAGTCTACACTTTTTTTTATCTTACAATGATATAATAATATGTGGATCCAAGATGCCCCAAGACAAAACAAGAGTTCTTGTACAAATTAATTTGATGGGTACTCCGTGAAATCAACACTACCATAAGTTTGTATCCTCAAATCTAATAAACACAATATTGTTCAAGTCTTTTCACTATTTTTAACTCTTCTTTGGGGAGGAAAAAAACATGCATTTTTTTTTATCGAGACTACCTAATTTATTTTATTAAAGCATAATTTATAATTTATTTATTTTATTTTATTTTATTTTCACTCCAACAAAATAGGTATGTTGAGACACTTAAGTAGCATTTTATGCGCAGACATAATTAGACCGCACTTGACAGAACAAGAGGGTAAAACTGGACAGAACTAGAGTCTATCTGGTGTTTGGTACGACTAGGATTAGATAAGACAAAACTAGATAAGTTGTCCGCAAAAGTTATTTTATGATTTTATATATCATATACTAATTATAACTAACACAAATAAAGTAAATAATTTAATTTATAAATACTTTTACATAATTTTCATATACATAAATATAAAATCGTACTAAATTTGAATGAATTTTTTTATATATAATTGATGGTATTTTGATAAAACTCGATTCATGCAAAGGAGAATTTACGTTTTATTCGGTTTGGAAGATCCTTATGAATTGGTGAAAGCATAGTAAAGATTGTTGCAACAACAATGGTTGTGGAGGTAGAATTGGTGATTGGTGGACGATAGTGGTTGTGAAAGACGTGAAGATGGTTGATAGTGGTGGTGGTGGCGGGTGACAGTGGTGGAGAAGTTAGTTGTGGGATATGTGGTGGAGGTAAGTGTGATAGTGGGTAGTGGTAGTGGTTATGGTGGAGGTCGTGATGCCTAACGATACTAGTGGTGGTGGAGATGGACAGTTGTGATTTGTGGAGAACATGAATATGGCAGATAGTGGTAGTGGTAGCTCGTCTTATCCCATGTACTAAACGCAGCCTTAAGGGCACGGTTTACTAAATACTTATCCAGTAAGTGCTTACCGAGTCATTTAACCAATCGAATAAACATGACACGGGTTAAGAATCTTATCTAGTAAGAACGACAACAAGGAGCGAGAATCTTACCCGGTAAGTGAGAGTGTCGATTATTATCTGGTAACCGCTTATGGGATAAAATTTGTTCCATACAATGTTATTTTCTAAAACAGATAAAAAAACACGACCTTATCTTATCGAAACAATTAATCCCGATTATATAAAAATATCATGATTTTTTTTACTCAGAAAGTTCATATTTATATATTTATTTATTTAGCTACACCGGCTACAAATATACACAAACGTTGCAAGCATACAATTATCTCATATGATGAAAAACAATTCATATATATAATCTGTTAATAAGTGGAAGTAAATGTGACTCTTCAACAACACATATAATCGTGGGTTCAAATCCCCTTGTAGCAAATATTTATATTTCTGCTTCACAACCAAAGAGCATTAATTTTTTTTTTCCAATCCTAAATTACTTTTGATCTTCATTCTCAAATTTGTTTTCACTTTTTGTTGATTAATGCATCATGACGTCCTCTTATAAATTATCATGTTCTTGATAATTAATTTTCCCCAAAAATATGAGTTTCTTGATCTTGGTTTGTTTGTATTTTTTTTAATTTTCTTTTAGTTATTAATTTGAGTATTGTTAAAATCTTAGATGCATAAGAAAATGAAATAAGGTGCATAGTTAATTCCTGTTTCCTTAAAGAAAAAAGATGCATAGTTAAATTTGATTTGCAAAACATCTTATTTAATGCTAGGAGTTCTACATGCGTAACAAAATGTAATTAAAAAACTTAGAAGAAACATAGGCAATCAATATCAAATACTAAGAATTGGAAAGAAAATTATGAAATCAACCAAAAAACCTAATAAGTTATGTGTAACGATGGAATTATGCTAAAAACACATTAGGCCTAACATGTAATGTTGTGTTCGCTCAAAAGTTAAAGGTCGATTCAATTTGAAAAACAAACATATTATTCCCAAAATCGACATAACTGGTTTTCCCTCGGATGTAACTGAGTCTATTTTTTCTTCTGAACAAACCCACGACTTTGCAGATCTTTAATCGACCTTAAAGGTGCACCCGTTCAAGGAAATTCCTGGGCCCGGCTCTAAAAAATAGTGACTTACACAAGATGTGTATGTAGAAGGGGAAGTTGAATACAAACACAAAAAAATTCACTTTTAATTCTATATTTTATTAAAACAAAGAATTAGATATTGGTTGATCCATACTCTCTCAGTGATTTGATGATAATCCTTTTATATCTAGCAAAAAATACTTAGTTTTGTTTTATACAATTTTAGTGATCAACACTGAGTTTGTTCACTGATTGTTGAACATGTATTGTAAACTTCTCTAATGAACAAGTATTCTTCAAGAAGACACAACTCACACCAAAAGAACCTTCAGCGGTTTCGAAGATAAAGTTGAAGATAGAAACAAACAGTTCATGATCTGATGCCGTCTTAGTGATAACAAACATGTCTAAAATCAAGTATGAAGTATGTTCAAGATTCAACGAACACTGAAGAAACTCTAGAGTTATGCCAGTGCCAGCGATCGAATGAAGCATGTTATACAATATTAGTTTTTGTCTTATTCTCCTGCACACAAAGGACAAATTCATACATCTCAAAGTAAAACACATGTATGGGGTCATTCTATGTCTCCAAACATGTTTACCTACCTTGTGAAAGACCACTATTCATATACGGCCAAAAGCCTGTATATCTGAAGACAAAGGACAAGCTCACCTCTAGAAGCTTGCCACGTGCTTTGTACCTTCGGACTTGCATTTAATGCAATGGGTATAAATAACCATAGAGACTCTCTTCCCCATACATACAAGAAGCACAAATTTTAATCCCGCGAAGTTAACCTTACTTCAAGCGAAGAACTACACCTACATGCAAAACTAAGCTTTCTCTCAAGCAAAGTTATAGCATCTACTTAAGCAAGTCTTTTCTCTCTTGCTTTTCTGTTTCTTTTATGCTCTTTAGATTGTTTAGATAAGTTTTGTATCTTGTTTTCTTCCGTAAACAATCTGTAAATTATGTAGATCTTCTCATATCAATAAAGGATTTTAAAAGTGAAATTTTGTGTGTTTGTATTCATCCCTCTTCCTTCTACAAACTGTTACCTTTAAAAACTTATAGATCCCTCTGGGAACAACATTGTTGTTGAAGCTTGGAAGATAATACCTGATTCTAAAGAATGTGACTGGTGAAAAATTTGCTAACAGTTGAAAGAGTGAGAAAATGAGGTACTTTTTCTGATCTGAAGTACTTAGATAGTTTTTTAGATAGTGATGTCGATTTTGCCTAATAAACTATGACTCAGAAGTTCTTTCAAGTAAGTTGCAACATATGATAAGGATGACCTTTTATAGCCACCATTGCATTAAATATTATTTGCCAACTTTAACACATGTCTTTATCTGATTTGCTAACCATGCATGTTTCTACTCTTCATTTTAGTCTTTGAAGTTGATGTATACACTTTTAAGGAAGTATGGTACTATTAAAATATTATTTTAGAACTTATTTTAGTTGGCATGACTAAACATGTTCTCATACCAGGATGAGTGTTGGAAGAGTTAGGGGTTGTTCGGTTGTGGCTTAATGGGTTGTATAGCCTATATGGCTTATTCGCTCAGCCATAAGTAGTTGTTCGGTTGTGGCTTATTCGCTTAATCGTTGAATTAATTGGCCAACTAAAAAACATCACTCCTTTACACTCAACCATTTACTTCCCCTAAATTTCCCCAACTAGCCTTGGCAATAAACCCTCCCCTTCCAGTTCCTCCTCCAATTCACACTTCCTTTTCACGTTTCCATGTTCCAAGGTTCCATTCATGCTTCTAGTTCCATGTATTGATTACTGCTTCAAATGACTTTTTCCAAAGAAATCATCCTCTCATGTTCTCCACATCACGGGTACCGATTTCTTCCTATGATTTTCGATTTCTTCTTATGGTTTTTTCTTTCTATGGTTTTCGATTTCTTCCCATGGTTTTCAATTTCAAGTTCTAGTGCCTCCTTCATATTTCTGATTTGATTTTTGGTTTTTCCTTGCCATCATAAGTCTGTCAGAGGTTCAAACCTCACCATAGGT